AATGCTGCATTGCAGTTTTCCTGCTATGAAAAGGACACTCGACATATTACGTGTAGATGCAAGCACACACACACACACACACACACACACACACACACACACACACACAGTGGCCTCCATCTGTTGAGGGCTTAGTGCAGCTGAGTTGTGCTGCTATTGTTAAGTGGAGTTATCGTTGAGGACTCCTGTTGACAGTTTGTAAATGCGTCGTGGTCTCGTGCAGGGCGTACATGCGTGTGTTTTAAGGGCACGGCTAGAGCCTAGCGGTAGTCTTGCGGTAGGTGTGTCAGAGCTACAGCCTGTGTGTTGTGGATTAGCATGTAGGATTGGAAGCCATCTGGCCATTTTGTCTCCGAAAGGGGAGGGAGAGTATAAGTGAGAGAGATGGATGGAGAGAGACAGGGAGGGAGAGAGAGACAGAGGAAACACTCACACACTGACACATTGACACAGCTCCCTCCGTAATCTCCCTACTTGATGTCTGTTGCTACTTAGAAAAGGGTTACTTGTCTCTGTGTGTTTGTGTGACGTCTGATTGTGTGCACTACGAATACAGATAGTTCCTGTGGGGCCATATGCCTCAGGAACAGTTAGGTGGGATCCAAGATCCCAAAAAGTTAAAGCCTTCACGTTGAGGTGATGCAATGACGGTGAAGACGTCCCAGATGGATCGAGACTGTGGATACTAAAAGGATGAAATGTGGCAGGGGAGGAAAAGGGTTCAGGGGGTTTAAAAGATTAACAAGTTTCACTGGGGTAAAGAGTTTGCAGAGAATGGCATCTGAACTTGAAGTTGATTGAAGATGAACAGGCTGCAGGAGGTAACACGTTAGAGGCTAACAAGTGTGTGCATAGAATGAAAAGTCTGCATGAGCGGTTTACAAATTTACAATCTCATTTATCCTACAACAAATAATTGCATTAAGTGTTATAAACTCAGATTTTAACCTTATTTTAGTGTCTGTGCTGTATTTTCTGAGAGAAGTCATTCACCTGCAACAGTATCTACATGTAAACTGAGTATAAGGGCCATATTGAAGAAAAAGAAATCTCAGATTTCAAGAATAATGATGAGATATATTACAAGAATAAAGTCGTATTTTAGAATAAAGTGTTAATATTACCAGAGTAAAGTGTTTTCTAATGAGAAAAAGGTCATGAATAGCTAGATTTCTTAGGATATAGGCAGTTTCACTCCTTCTGGATCCAAAATCTTGAACCAATCTCATTGTTTCTTTAAAGTATGAAACTCCTTTGAATAGAACTCAGATGTCATGTAACAAACGATGTGTACTGTCGACCACTAAGAAACATTTCCTCCTCCACAAAAGAAGCAATATCCTCCAAGTCCTTGTTGTCTTTTGAACAGACTCAGTTTTCATCACAATCTTTTTGTCCTGATACTTATGATAATGTGGTGCTTTCATTATTTGGGAAACTCATACTAAAGTATAACTTTACACCATGCTTCACATTCATCATTTTAACGGCGGAGAGATTACAACTTTCTTACTGTAATATTTTGACTATTTCTTTGGATTTTCGTGACTTTATGATTTATGTCTCCTAATATTACAACTTAATTATCAAAATCTCAGTTCTGTCCCCTTAAAGTGATACTCTCTGTACTCTAGTCATACCACAGGATATTAAACTATTTGGGATGGCAGCAAAAATTGTGTTTTGTAACTTCAGGTAGAGTGAATGCTCTCCAATAAATAACACCACGTCCCCACTGGCACACTGTTCCTCCACATCCAAGTAACCATGAGGAATTTAGCGTCTTTTCTCAGCTGATATTGTTATTCACTTGTTGACACAGTCTCATCAGTCTCATGGTTAAGTTTTTCCATGCAAAGTCAAAATGCAGCCAGGCTGAGTTAAGCAGGGCAGAAGTTTTTATAATTAAATGCTTGGCCAGTTTTAATTATGAGAGAACAGTAAAACCAATATTATTATGTGTTATGTAATTGTAGAACATGGGACCAGTACTTTTAAATACAGAGTGGCGTGGAGAAACAATTTAAGTTTTCCTCAGACATGAAGGATTTTACATATTTTAAATCCAGCATTTATGTTAACACAATATCTGGCAGGAGTAAATGCTAGAGAGCAACAAATCTACATACAGCCCCCATACTGTTTTCTCCTCCTGTCCTACGAGGGGGGCATTTTAACCCTTTCAACTCGACTCAGAGTTCCGTGCACCAGCTGGCGTGGCAGGAGGGAATCCACTCCCCTCTCTGCCTCCAGCTGGCT